ATGCATCATGACTTTTCTGACAACCCAATATATATACATCTACATTATTTCTGTATCTGCGTGTCTGTGGTTCATTGCCCTGCTGCTCCTTTGTAAGTTCTTTCTCTGACAAGAGATACCTGGTTCTCATTATCTACAATATACCTATTTGGTCAATATTGGTTACATAGTAAAGTAGTTTCAGAATTGATAAACTGTATACCCATTTATATAGTAGAATGTTTATATTTAATAAATATATTTAATTTATCTGTATCCAAGCTTATTTTCACATACTCTGCACCAATTCTTTTGAATTCATGCATATTTTTGGAGAGGGAGTTTTATTAATTTCAGTCAGGTTACTTCCCCTCTTAATTTCCTTTCATGAATTATGGTCTTAAAATTGACAAACCCCTTTTTGCTTTCTTGCATTCTCAGCTTTTAGTACAATAATAAAGAACCATGTCCAGTCCCTTAAAAAAGCAATGTGAAGTGTATTTTTATCAAGTATGTTGAATTAGAAATATTTCCTAGAGTATTTTGTCTGTGTACAAATATACACAGTATCATCTTAATAAAGAACAAAACCAAAATAGGAATGGTTAATCGTAATGGTCTGATTTACGGGAATGTAAAAAAAAAAAAAAAGAAAAATGTCCATTATAGAGGAATTTGTTAATTCTATTATGAATTATCATATGATAGAACACTGTGCATTGGAGAATTATATAAGATACTGTGTAAACACACTACCTGGGTCATTGAGGTATTTAAATTCTCTTCTTGTAAATAACCAATTGGATAAATAGACCAGATTTAAAAATAACCAGTTAGCATAGTAGGATTATAGTTGGTTTCCTTTTTATATTTTTCAGATTTCCTATGTGAGCATGTTATATCTCAGTGTATTTCGGCATGTAATGTACTTCTAAATATTAGTTAAACCTTTTTGAGTAAACAAAAACAGCAGAAAGAGCTTTGAGTGTTAGGCCACAATACAATCTTAGAAAGTTAGAGGGCCAAAACTTGTGTTACCCTCTTACTACAGCGTGGAGATCATTTAAAGAAGGTAAACTGCACCTTGGATTTAATGGTGAGATCTAGACAAAAAGTTATATTGTACATAATGAGAACCAGGTTTCTCTTGTTCAGAGAAAGAAGTTACAAAGAAGCAGTAGGGCAATGAACCACAGACACATAGATACAGAAATAATGTAGATGTATATATACATGGGTTAGTATACGTACATACTTTCCTCGCCTTGTTGGATGAGAGAATGCAGAAGCAGTGATACCCCAGTAGTAACGAGTACACTGAGCCCCCAGATCATGGCTTCAAAATATCATTCTCCAATAAAAAGGAACCAAGACTCCTTAGAGTGCATTCTAGGGCCAGGGCAGGGAAAACACAATGGGAGCCTGGAGCATTTTGTAGTGCTAGAAAGTAAGGAAGTGCTGAATGAATGAATGAATGAGGTGTGTTTAAAGGACACAGGACTAGCCTGAAAAAGCTCCCAATGGCCAAAGCTTGGACAATTTGAGCAACAAAATAAAAAGTGATAGTATGGATCATAACCCAAAGAATAAGCTTGTGGTCTATCATAGTATCACTACCCAAGCTGAAAGAGGATTAGAGTCCTTAGGGATTTAGTGATTTGCAGAACAGTTTTGGGACTTCAGAGAGAAATGTTTCCACATGAGCCTCTGTTTTTTCATTTTATAGTGGACAGAAGGTTAAGTAGCTTGCTCAGGGCCATACAACTAATTCAAGTCTGACCTGCACTTGGTCAATGGGTTTCTAGGTTTTTGGGTG